TGTGTGAATATACCACAGCTTCTCTATCCATTCATTTGTTGATGGGCACTTAGGTTGTTTCCAACTCCTTGCTATTGTGAACAAAGCCGCGATAAACATGGGTGTGCATATATCTGCTTGGATGTCGTTTATGGTCTCTTTAGGGTATATTCCCAGTAGTAAAATTGCTAGGTCAAATGATATCTCTATTTGCAACTTTTTGAGGAAGCGCCACACTACTTTCCACAGTGGTTGCACCATTTTACACTCCCACCAACAGTGTATAAGGGTTCCAGTCTCTCCACAACCTCGCCAGCATTTGTTGCTAGCTGTTTTGTTAAATTTTGCTATTCTTACTGGGGTGAGATGATATCTCATAGTTGTCTTGGAATTTGCACTTTTATATACAATTTTATCTGGAAACTTCTCTTAGGACTTCAGTTACAACATTTGTAGTAGCAGCTGAGCACCATCTAGACTGGATATCTTAGGACAGATGATTAGCATATGATTGTTACCTGTACAAAGTACCTATTTTTCATAATAAGCCCCAAATTATGTGGGCAGATTACATCATTCCTTATTTTTTCTAGACAAGGAAACTAGTTCAAAGGTAAACCTCATTTCTTTATGTTAACTCAGTAGTTCATTGCCTTTGATTAGAAACCGATACAAAACTGACCCTCCAGGGGTTTTGCAGAGTCTCACAGAACTAATTGCCTATCTTTCTCCCATGGCTAGTGGACTTTTATGTACCTACCTTTTGAGTTGCATTTTATAGTTCTGAATTATTCACAACATTATAAGGATAAAAATTTACATTTCTATTTCACTTACAAATGGGGCAGTAAATGAAACAATTTGTCAGTATGATATTTTTATTATACCTCACTCCTTTTGGAAGCAGGAGTAGCATCCACTTCCTAAACAGTATGGCTCTGGAAACTCTGTGAACTTTGATAAATGGCAATAGTTATAGAAAGGCTCTAGGCCTTTTGTTGATTGGGTACTATGAGTCGAGTTCAGCTCGATGGCAGTCAACACAACAACAACAACATATCTCACTCCATCATTTGTTACAATTCACACAATCAAGTGCCCTTGTATAGTCAGTAAAATACAACTGGACATTCTTCTGATAGTCTCTCTTTTCAGCCAAGATGTATCTGACATCAGCAATGATATCTCTGATGTCTCTTCTAAACCCCACTTGAACTTTTGGCGGTTCTGTCAATTACTTTCCTAACTATTTTTGGAAAATCTTAAGTAATTTTGAGGTGTTGGAGAAAACTATTAAATATATTATGGACTGCTAAGACAATGAACAGGTTCATCCTAGAGAGGATTAAACCAGGCTGCTCCTTGGTAGCAAAGATTCTGAAGGTCTGTCTAACATACTTTGGATATGTTGCAAGGAAGGACCAGTCCTTGGAGAAGGATGTCATGCTTGGGCAGGTGGAGGGACAGCGCAGGAGAGGAAGACCTTTTGTGATGTGGATTGATTCAGTGACTGGGGTAATCGATGTGGGTATGTTGGAGACAGTGATATTGGCACAGGATAGAGCAGGGTTTAGGACTGTTGTACATAGGGTCACTATGAGTCACAGGCAACTCAACAGCACATAGCAACAACAACAATATTATGGTTGCATGTGATATGACTAATATTGTTCAATAATTTCCACATTCTGTTTGATCACCTTTCATGGGAATAGGAACAGATATGGTTCTCTTACAATCACTCAGCCATGCAATTATCCTCCAAAGTTCCTAGCATATGCTAGTAAGCACATCCAGGGCTACGTCTTTTAGTTGGAACATGGATCGTGGTAGAAACTGATTCTTGGAGTCAGTTGACCACTTGACTCTTACAATTTTCTAGTACATGCTAGTGAGCACCTCTAAAGCTGCATCTTTTAATTGAAAAAGTCAATTGGTATCACATTGATTTTGGAGGCTTTATTTTATTGTCAGTGCCTCAGTGTAGCTTGAACTAGGCCATGAAACTGTTGTTTAAATAGAGCCATGGAATGCGAGATTGTTTAAAATCAAGAAAGATATATATCAGGGCTGTATCCATTCTCCATAGCTATTTGATCTGTTTGCTGAGCAAATTTTTTGAGAAGCTGGACTTCATAAAGAGAAATGTGACATCAAGATGGGTGGAAGTTTCAGCAACAGCTTGCATTATACAGATGACAACACCTTGCTTGCAGAATACAAGGAGGACTTGAAGTGCTTGTTGCAGAAGTAAAAAACTACAATCTTCAACATGGATTGCATCTTAACACTAAGAAGAAAAAAACTTCCTTTCCACTGGGCCAATAAGCAATCTCAGCATAGATGGAGAAGGGATTGAAATTGTCAATAGCCTCATCTTACTTGGACCCAAAATCAACATTTTTGATACCTACTAGCAGGCAAGAAATTAAAAGACTTATTGGATTATGGAAGTGTGCTAAGAACCTCTCCAGAGTATTAAAGAGAAACAATGTCTGTTTAAACACTTAACATATCTGATTAAGGATTTGGTGTTTCAATCAATTGCTATACATATCAGAGCTGGACAATAAAGCTGACAGAAGAATCAAAGGCTTTGAGTTTTGGTTTTGGAGAATAGTACTAAATATCCTATGGACTACTAAAAGAATAAACAGTTATGTCTTGAAGAAAGAGGACGCACAATGATCCTTAGAGACATGAATGGTGAAGCTTCATTTCACATATTTCCTTGGAGAGAATATTCATACTTGGAAAAGTGGAAGGTCAGTAAAAGAGAGGAAGACTCAATGAGATGGATTGACACAATGATGGCAGCAGTGGGCTCAGGTGTGTCAAAGATGATGAGGACGGTACAGGATAGGACAGGTTTCAGTTCTGTTGTTCATAGGGTAGCTATAAATCGTACTCAACTCTGGCACCTTCACCTAACAACATACCTCACTCCACCAGTGTTAATAAAGTTAAATATCATAACGCACCATTTCTATGAAATGAACGAATGTGTAGAGACAGATAATTTTTGTGTTTGAATGAGACAGAAGGGAGTAAGAATTGGGGAGTGACTGCTAATGTGTTCAGGGGTTGGTTTTTGGGATGATAAAAATATTCTAAAATTGTGGTAATAGTTGTACAGCTTGGTGAATATACCAAAAACCTTTAGATTTTATACTTTGAAAGAGGATGAATTTCATCATATATTAATTATATCTCAAAGTTATTAATAATTATTAATTATATAATAGTTATTAAGAGTCCAGATTTATCTTGATATGTTTTTTAAACTGTAAACTGTTGGGTTTTTGTAGGTTAGAAACAGAGTATATAGCAGACTATTGTCACTTCATTCTCCAAACACTTATGGAACCAGATCACCACAGGAGGTATTTAAGGCCTCAGGATTAACACAGGTAGGAAAATTTATAGGCACAATTTTCATATTTATCTAGTATCATAAACTTTAGTCTAAAAGTCTATAGACTGTTGCTTGAGAATTTTTCTGCTCCTTTTCTAGAACCTAATTTTTGAAAGAAAATAAATTCACGTGAATTGTATTGATTTATGTCACGGTGAAGCCTTTAAACCTTACTCCTTTTATTATCATGATGATAGAGATAATGGGAGCATAAGACTTAAAGTTAGTACTATCAATAATTGTCCTGATTTTTTAGAAACATATATTAATATGAATTTGCGTTTGCTTTCTTTTGTACTATCCAGAAATGGGTGAACAGAGAGATATCAAATTTTGACTACCTCATTCAAATAAATACAATTGCAGGACGAACCTATAATGACCTTGCACAATATCCTGTGGTAAGTTTTATTGTTAATCTCATAAATGTAGTAAAATTACCTTTTCATTTTGTAATGCTCTAAAATATCTTTGTGTTTTTTACCTTGCTATTTTCAAGATCTATCTAATAATTATATATAATAATTAAAAGAATAATTTTAAAATAAAAGCATATCCTTCAGCTTATTGAAAATATTCCTAGTTATTCTGGTTATCAAATTGAGAGTGAATATACACTTTTAACAGAGAGAGGGGAAAGACTTTTAAAGACTATTTCTATTTGTCTGTAAGGAGTCCTGATGACATAGTATGTTTACAGATTGAACTCTTAACCAAAAGGTTGAGGGTTTGAAGTCTAGCAGCCTATCAGTAGGGAAATGGGCAGAGTACTCCTATGCAGATTTACAGTCTTAGCCATGGGTCGAAATCAACTTTACAGTGAGGTTTGTTTGGTTTGGGCTATCCATTTTTATCATCAGATAAACATTTGTTATTAGATGTTACAAGAAAAAAACTCACTGCCACTGAGTCAGTTCTGATTCAGTGTGACCTGCTATCAAATCTCTGATTTTGTAACTCTTTTTTTTAAAAAAAAAAAAAAAAATTATTTCGTTATTTTTTTGTGTGTACAGTCAATTCAGATCTGACTGATACAGGAGGAGATTGTTCCACCTTCTCCATGTAACTTTTTGTAATTGAAGGGGTTTTATTATTTATTTTAATGAAAATTTATAGAGACTTTGAATTTCCATTCATTGTTGCACTTTTCTCTGTGCCCACCACTCTTCCCCCAGCTCACTCTTCTCATTGTTATACAATCCCTCCCTCCCAAGTCCACTCCATGTGTTTGTTCACCATTTGGATGTCTTCTTTGGTGAAGTGTCTGTTCATAATCCTGTGCTCATTTTTCAAGTGTGTTGTTTATCTTGTTGTGATGTTTCATTGAGATTTTAATGAAAGATTTTTGAGAAAATGGATTTCCATTCATTCGTTATTGCACATTTTTCTCCCTGCCCCTCCCAATTTGCTTTTTTCTTTGAAAAGAAAAAATTCTTTTATTGTTACACATTTTCCCCTCCCTCCAGTCCACTTTACTATGCAGCTCTTATTCTGGACTCTTGTCATGCAAATAATAACTAATCATATATCCCTTTTAAACAGTTCTCTCTTATCTGTTTCAATGTAGTGTACATTATTTATCCACTCTTTTCTTAGTTTTCCCCAAAACCTGATGTCAGTCGGTGGCATTATGCAGTATTTTTCTTTTTGTAACTGAGATATTTCACTCAACATAATGTCCTCCAGGGTCACCCATTTTGATAATATTTCATGAGTTCCTTGTTTTCAATGCTGCATAGTATTCCATTGTGTGACTATACCACAGCTACTCTATTCATTCATTTGTTGATAGGCACTTGGGTTGTTTCCAGCTGTGCTATTGTGAACAAAGCAGCAGTAAACATCAGTGTGCATATATCTTCTTGGGTGGCAGTTCTGGTTTCTTTATGGTATATTCCCAGTAGTTGAATGGAATACTATGCTGCATTGAAAAACAAGGAACTCATGAAATATTAAATAAAATGGATGACCCAGAAGGACATTATGCTGAGTGAAATATCTCAGTTACGAAAAAACAAATATTGCACAGGGTCACTGTTGTAAAACGTGACTGACATTGGGGTTGAGAAAGAGGAGATACATAATGGATACTGCATTGAAACAGATGAGGAAGAGAACCATTTAAAAGGGATATATTATTAGGTATTATTGTCATGACAGAAGTCCAGAATGAAGGCTGCACAGTGGAGTGGACTTGGGGGGAGGGATTGTATAACAATGAAAGATTTTTTTTCTTACTTTTCAAAGAGAAGAGCGAATTTGGGGGAGGGGGTGGGCAGGGAGAAAAGTGTGACAGTTAATGAATCGAAACCCAAAGTCTCTGTAAACTTTCATTAAAATGAATTAAAAAATGGCTTTTCTATTTCCTGCTTTTTTGAGAAAATGCCATCCTACCTTGCAAGTGGTTGCTCCATTTTATTCTTTCATCAACAGTGAATAAGAGTTCCAGTTTCTCCACAATCTCACCAGCATTTGTTGTTCGCTGCTCTGTTGAATTTTGCTATTCTTACTTTGGTGGGATGATATCTCATAGTTGTTTTGATTTGTATCTGTCTTAGAGCTAGGGATTTTGAACATTTCTTCATGTGTTTGTTCACCATCTGAATGTTGTCTTTGGTGAAGTATCTTTTCATATCCTGTGCCCATATTTCAATTGGGTTGTTTACCTTCATCTTGTTGTGGTGCTCCAGTAGTCTATAAATTATAGATATGAATCCATTATATGATATGTCATTACCAAATATTTTTTCCCAGTCTGTGGCTTCCCTTTTTACCCTGTTGGAGTTTTTGGATATACATAGGGATTTGCTTCTTAGAAAGTCCCATTCATCTGTTTTATCCTCTCCTGGTTGTAGGTGTTTCAGGATGCTTGGAAGTCTGTTTGTGCTGTGAATTAGGGTTTCTAGAGTTCTTTCTAGCTTCTCTATAATGAAGTTTACAATCCTTGTTTTTAGTACTAGGTCCTTGATCTGTTTGTGTTGTGAATTAGGGTTTCTAGAGTTCTTCCTAGCTTCTGTCTAATGAAGTTTACAATCCTTGTTTTTAGTACTAGGTCCTTGATTCACTTTGAGTTGGTTTTTGTGTATGGTGTGAGGTGTGGGTCTTGCTTGAGTTTTCTGAGATAGTTTTCCAATATTTTGTAACTCTTCAGAAGAGTGGACTGCTTCATTTTTCCCCTGTGGAGCTGCTGGTATGTTTGAACCACCAACCTTCTAGTTAGCACCCTGATGCATAGCATTTTATACCACAAAGTTTCTTTGTAATGAAATATGAAGATAATGAATTCTCTTGGAAGGATTTTCTGAATTGTAAATTGTGATTCTTTTAGTTTCCCTGGATTTTACAAGACTATACTTCGGAAGAATTGGATCTTAATAACCCAGCTGTATTTCGAGATCTTTCCAAACCAATTGGTGTTGTTAATGATAAAAATGCCAAAGCTATGCGAGAAAAGTACGTACTTTCAATATCTTCTGAAAGATATCCTTTAATTATTTGAATTTTGAATGCTCAATTACTTTTGATCATCAGAATCTTAATTGCTTCACCAAATCTTCGTTAAAATTTCTCAATTTTTCTTCAAGTATGTTGTTTATATTTTTTATGATTCAGGTTTTTTGGTAAATGTGAATTTATATTACTCTGAATTTCTTTTTTTTTTATTTTTTTTTAATTGAATTGCTTTTTACCTGCTAATTATTATGTGCTAAAGAGGGTATTGAGTTCTTGAAAATGTTTTACTTTAATAACCTAGTATGTAAAAATAACTAGTATAATAAATTTTTACGTTGTTGCTGCATAGATGAAAAATTAATAATGCTAATCTGAGGAAAATCCTCGATGAGATGGATTGATTGAATGAGTGGCGTAATGGGGGTATGTGCGTCAAATACAGTAAGATTGGCACAGAATAGAGCAGGGTTTAGGGCTGTTGTACATAGTGTTGCTGTGAGTAGCAGGTGACTCGATTGCACATAACAACAACAAAACAGCAACAATCTGTTCAACAATAATGTGAATGAAGAACAAAGAAAAGTACCATTTTAATAAAGACAGGAACTTTTTAAAAGATAACCAGGAACTTTTAATACTTCTGGGTTTTTTTATTATCTACACAAGGTATAAACAAAAAACAGAATTATACCATTTTAATTTACTTTTTTTTTCTTCATGTAGACTTGTGGATGATGTGTCAGGTTCAGGTTCTTGTAACAAGAACAGAAATAATTTGCAAGCTAAATTAGTGTTAGGTTTATTTGGTAACTGGTACATTGTTATTTTCTTTGTAAATTTTTTCTAGGATTTTTCTGCTGTGAAAATATATTACTGCATAATACACAACTGTTTCAGAACTTAGTAATATTTCATTGTTTAGTTAAGTATTAATGTGTAAAACATCTTTCATTTACTAATATGGTGTATTTAATAAGCATACTTTTGTTATAATGAAGCACATTAATAAGAAATCATTTAATAACCATATTTTTAGCAATACAGTACACATTTCTGTTCCCCTGATTTAATTTTAGTGTTATGAGTTGTAAAACTTTTTTCTTTCAGATACGAAAATTTTGAAGATCCCATGGGAACTATTGATAAGTTTCATTATGGCACTCACTATTCAAATTCTGCAGGCGTCATGCATTACCTTATTCGCGTGGAACCATTCACCACCCTTCACATCCAGCTTCAGAGTGGAAGGTATTTTTTCCTGTGGCTTTATTAGTGTTTAAGACTATTTATCTTTATGCTGTTAATTATAAAATGGAACCCTGTATTTTACTTTACTCAAGTAGGCTTGATTCATTTAGCTCCTAAGGTAAAAGTAGATTTTTCCAAACTAGTTTGAGATTAAATTATTCCAACTGAGTTGCACAAGTCACTTTTAAGAAGATTCCCTTTTTTTAGAAGGGTGCAACAATGAATGAATGGAATTCCAAAATCTCTGTAGATGTTCATTGAAATGAAAAATAAACAAACTAAATTAATTTAAAAAAATCATTTCAATGTATAAAAAACTCTCATTAAATGAATCCAGTTTCCTTACCCCCCCCCAAAAAAAGAAGATTCCCTTTTTATTGTTATCCTACTGTACGTTTGTGGTTGGTTTCAGAGACCTGTCAGATATTTAGAGTTAGATCTGAATTAGATCTAGATCCAAGATGTGTACTAGAGATTGTAACCTAGCCAGTGTGCTTGTAGTTTTACTAAAAGTATTTAGCCAGAATACTAGAAAGAAGAAAAAAATTAAACTCTTACAGTATTAGCAGCAGCAAAAAGAGCTCGTGTACCATTGCATTCTAACCTATTTTTCACCTTTTCCTAATGATCCAAAAAAAACCTACTTTTGCTTGAATTCACTGATCTTTGTATCATCCTGGTGGCTTCCACCTTACTCATATTTTGTCTCCTTTATGCTTTATAACATTGTCATTTGACCTTCCCCGGTCATTTACAAGCTTACTGTGTAAGCATTACTTGTTTTACTCTTGCTTTCCATAGGGCTTCTAGAGCTTCTGTCTCTCAGAAGTAACTTTGGTCTTGGATAGCTACCTTAAATACAATAAAGTTTGGCTTTCAAGAAGAGACTTTGTCCCCAAGATAACAACAAATTCTCAAATACTGTAAAATAGATTCTGACTCATAGTGACCCATTGTGTGCCAGAGTAGATTTGTTCACATAGATTTTGAGTGGCTAATTTTTCAAAAGTAAATCACTAGGCCTTTCTTCTGAGGCACTTCTAGGAGGACTTAAACTCCAGCTTATTGTTAAAGTATGTTAATTGCTCCTGCTATCCAAAAACTCTAAAATACCAGAATAGCATGACATTCATTACCCCTACCAGTAATAAGATAACAGTAGAATAATTGAGTTTTTTACCTTTTATGATTCATGAATAAATGATTTTTTAACAAAGCTTCAAATACAGAATCAATGCTCAGAGAATACCCTCAAGAAAAAAAAAAGACGTTCACTCAGTGGGAGAAAATATATGTAATTTATATATCATGTATCAGGTCTCTCTTAAAAAATTTGTACCCTGTGTGTGTGTGTGTGTGTATTTATATATATATATATTTATACACTCAAGGACTGCAGCCTACAATATGGATTGAGGCTCAATGTCAAGAAGACAAAGATTCTCACCACTGGACCAATTGGCAGCATCAGGATGGATGGTGAAGAGATTGAGATTGTACACAGCTTTAGTTTGCTTGGCTCCATAGTCAACAGTCTTGGCACCAGCAGCCAGGAAATTAAAAGGCGCATTGCCATGGGAAAGTCTGCTGTTAGGGACCTCTCCAAAGTACTGAAGAGCAATGGTGTCTCTTTGGAGACTAAAGTGCATCTGATACAGGCCATGGTCTTCGCAATCACCTGTTATGCATCAGAGAGTTGGACAATGACCAAGGAGGATAGAAGGAGAATTGATGCCTTTGAGCTGTGGTGCTGGAGAAGAGTATTGAGAATACCATGGACTGCTAGGAAAACAAACAGATTTGTCCTGGAGAGTGTTAAACCGGGTGGCTCCTTGGAGGCAAGGATTCTGAGGCTCTGTCTAACATACTTTGGACATATTGTGAGGAGAGACCCGTCCTTAGAGAGGGACATCATGCTTGGGAGGGTGGAGGGACGGCGCAGGAGAGGAAGGCCCTCTATGAGGTGGATTGATTCAGTGATTGGGATAATAGGGATGGGAGTGTCGGAGACAGTGCGATTGGCACAGGACAGAGCGGAGTTTAGGGCTGTTGTACATATGGTCGCTATGAGTCGCAGGTGACTCGACGGCACATAACAACAACAACAACAATGTATTAAAAAATTATATCCAGAATAAAATTGATGACTTACGTAGTCATTTCTCAAAAAATTACATACTAATGTCCAATAAACACATATAAAGATCGTCATATTCAGTCTTCAGAGAAATTAACACTTAAGATCACAATAATGTAACACTCCATTACCAATAGGATGGCATAATAAAAAAGATAAATGATAGTAACTGTCTGTGAGGATGTGGAGACTGGAAGCCGCATATAAACTGCTGATGGGAATTTAAATTGGACCTTCTGCTACAGGAAACACTCTTAAATACCTCAAAAGAGTAAACATAGGATTAGATTACCCTGAGACCAGCAGTTGACTGTTAAATAAGTCAACACATAGAACATGTTTATGGTGGCATTGTTTTCATAATAGCCAGTAAGTCAAAATAACCTGAATTTCCATGAATTGAAAATGAATAAATAAAATTTGGGTGTCTGTGTATCAACAGTTTCCTTATTTTAATTTTATAAAAAAATTTGTTTCTGTACAGTGATATATATTTTTGTCTGAAATTGAGTAAAAAGAGTGATCTACTGAAAGATGCCGCAGTGTGAGCGCACCTTGAGAACTCCAGAAAGTTTATGTTGTCCATCTATTGTGCCCACCCCAACAGCGCAAAGTCCTTTTTCAGGAGGTCAGACATGTCTCCTACACTCCCACACCTCTTTCTACTCATCCCAACACCAGTCTTAATGTTTTACTTGAAATCTGTTGTTTTACCTCACGGACCACTCAGAACTATATTGTTGTTGTTGTTGTTATGTGCCGTCGAGTCACCTGCGACTCATAGCAACCTTATGTACAACATCCCTAAACTCCACTCTGTCCTGTGCCAATCGCACTGTCTCTGACACTCCCATCCCAATTATCCCAGTCACT